TTGCGTGGCTGAAATTGCAGCAAATCTAGCCTTTTTTATTAACAAAGAAACAGAAATAAAACAAATTTCTATAGAATTTATAAGCAATCTGTAACTCATTTCCCAAATTATAGGGGTTTCTGCATCACCACACATCCTACCTTCTAGGTTTCAGATCTTTCATGGGAAAATGTGGTTGAACATCTTCCCAGCTTCCCCTTATAGCAATTGGTTGGATCGTATTTATGTATGTACTGTATGTATATATGAATGAATGAATGACAAGCAAATGCAAACAACATAAATTTAAATGAAACAGGGAAAATAAAATATATTTTATTTTCCTTATACATGAGTGGGGAGGATGGGATTTTTGTTACTGGAGAACCTGTGGGAGCTCAGGGTGGAGCAGTGATTTTTGCTCCTGGTTCTGGACACTACAAGGTTGGAAGATGCTGGCGGATTGTTGTGGAACAGTTTTGGAAGCATCGGGGCATGGAAGCTGTGGCAATGTGGAAGTGACCTCAATTATGATATTTCACTGCAGCACTTCTTTGAGGGTGTTGAAGCACGTGTGGCACAAGGTGTGAGAGAAGAGGAAGTGAGCTACCAGTTGGCCTTCAATAAACAAGAGCTAAGAAAGGTTATTAAGGAGTATCCTGGCAAGGAAGTGAAAAAGGGATTGGACAATCTTTATAAAAAGGTGGACAAACATCTGTGTGAAGAAGAAAATTTACTTCAGGTAATATAAGAAGGCAGACTAAAAGAGGGAATCTAATTTTAAAAGTTTTATGGCTTCCTTAATGTGTCTTTTAATCAGAATGAAATACCACAAGAATGAAATGTGGATTATACTAGTTTGGTTTATAGTATGTACTGTTAGGACTTGAATGAACTGCAGAACAAAACATCCTTTGTAGCAAGCTAAGGAGAAACACTCTTCTCCCTTATACGTTAATAGTTTATGCAGAGATAAGTTTTTGTATGAAGGCATATGCAGTCATATCATTTAAAGTAAATCATTTACTTAAGTAAAGTAAATTAGTAAGCTATCATTTAAGTAAAGCAGTTCAGACATAGGTTAGTATCTCAGTGGAAACTCACCTTGTGCCTCAAGCGCATGAAATTGCATGAAATTAAATGCACATTCCCTTGGTACTTCTGGAACGTAACACTGAAAGCATTCAATGTGACATGACCTGTGGAGTTTTGGACTGGAGCTTTTCAGTTATTAAAGCTTCCTTTTTTCTTTCTGGTAGGTGGTGTGGCATTCTATGCAAGATGAATTCATACGGCAGTACAAGCATTTTGAAGGCTTAATAGCACGTTGCTATCCTGGTTCTGGAATTACTATGGAATTCACTATTCAGGATATTTTAGATTACTTCTCCAGTATTGCACAGTCACACTGAAATTTGCCTGGTGCAAAGCAAGATAAGCTCACAAAGTTGCTGGAAAGCATTGCTGACACTGGAAGTTTATTTTGAGGAATGGAAGTGTAAGGGTGTTCTTAATTATCTTCATGCATATGAACTACGACTACTTAGGCCAGCTTTCCTCAATGTTATGCTGATGTATATGTGTTGGACTACAGCTCTGAGAATTCACAGCCAGTATGGCCGTTGGACACACTGGCTGGGAATTCTGAGAGTTCTAGTCCATTCAATTGGAAAACTAGCCTAGGTAGATATATTGCCTAACTGCTGGAAAAAAATTGTTGAAATATACATTTTCACATGTAACTGGTATGTCAAATGTACATTTATTATACTAAACTCATCTGCTTTCCTAATCCTTTGCTTTTAGAAATTAATATTTAAGTATAGAGATTATATAAATATCTGTGTTGTTTTGGGAATCAGTGCATGTTAATATATAGATTGATAGGATATCTGAGCTTTTGAGAATCAATTTACATGATTATGTAATTGCCATTATTTAGATTTGAAGTAAAAAAAAAGTTCTTTACAAAGAAAATACTTATTTCCTGAGGGAGATTATTAGCTGTGGCACAAAAGAAAAAAGGCTTTATTTCTCCAGATGAAGCAGCCAGTGATTGTACTTGAAGTAATGTTCAGTGCATTGATTGAGGTTTCCTTGGCAACACTGAAATTTTTAGATTTAAGCATCATAACTGTAAATTTGTTCAGATGGCTGTATTTAGAAAGAAAAATGCAAGATGCTACCCTTCTGGAAAAAGTCTGCTGAAATTCAAAATGTCTTTTAGGTTTTCTGAGCTCTCTTTGTGTTATCATTCTACCCTAGTATTGTAATCTTTAACTCACTTGGGCACAGAATGCACTTGCAAATGTATTTGCCTTTCTTAGTTTCTTCCTCACTGTTCTGTTTTAGCTCAAGCTACTTTATATATCTTCAGTCGATGCAGATTCCATGTGCTATGGAAATTATGTTTTCTCACCTACTGGTTTCATAATTATTACTGGTAGAAATGATGTGGAAGCTGGACTACCTCTTTGCAACACTTTCACTGTCCCCCCACCCTTCTTTCTATTTAGAAGCAAGAAAGGAATTCGTAGAAATGCTTGACTGCTTCCCTCTCACAAGGCTGTTTTTACACCATGTACTTTCGAATGACCATATAAAAAAAAACCTGAACTAGCATGTGATAGCTACAGTTGTCATGCTATTTGATCACACTATAAACACAAATGATAAAGTGTACTTTGCTTTCAAAGAAGCATTATTTATTTCTATGCCACTCTTCCCCCCAGAGGAACTCAACAGGTACCTTTCTAATTCTTAGGCCTAAGAACCATTTGTTCATATTACTTTCATTTCAGTTGGGCAGCTTCAATTTGATGGCCCTCAGAACATTACTGTATCCAGGCAAATGTCAAATACTTGCACAGCCTCTCCTGATTCAAATCTAAAGGAAAAATTGAGTTGGAGAACAAAATAAGAATAAAATGTTACCATACTGATAATACTGTACAAATTTGTCCTGCAGTTACAAAACTCTTGATGTATTTTATATTCTAAACAGTATATATTATGGTGCCGTTAAAATGTGGTCATAAATAACAATTGCATTTGCAAAAAAACCCCGCCAGTTTGCATTGAAATGGTGTAGAATGATGGGAGTCTCTCATTTTTATATTTAAGATTTGTAATCTAATATTAGCAATCAATAGAAAAAAAGGAGAACTTTGAGAAATTTCATTGGCTTCCTTGATAGTTCAGCTTGGGATCACAAGAAGCAATGGTCTGTCAACCAGATTAACAAGACAGTTTTTTGCATGCTTGGGTAGATCTCGTGTACCCATCAAGAAATTCATTGGTATCCAACTGCTCAGAAACTTGGCACTCACCAAACTTTAATGTGCCACATTTTTCAAAGATGGTTTCTTTTTTTTAAGCGAAGCTAGCGTGCTGGAAAGGAGAGCACCAGCCTCAAGCATTAATCATCCTGATTTTCAACATCTCATTAGAGTAGAAAGCCAGAGTCTAAAATAAATTCCAGATGGCTTCAGTTCTGGGTTCCGCATAGGCACTTCCGAAGCATTCTTAGGAAATAAAAAATCACAGTTGGGCCTGCAATCTTGCAAGGATAGATTATTGGTTAAATGGGTATCTAGAGATTGGCCATCACAACCATGTTGCCAAGTAGCTGCCCTCAAATTTCTACCTGTGCCTGGAAGTTCAAGAAAGTGGCATGGAAGGGAGATTGGAGGTTTCTCTTAGAAGATCTTTGGGTTAAGCTGGGATCAGTTGTGCAAAGGCTACCTGCTCATCAGTCAAGATTTATAAGAGAATTTTGATTTTGGAAGCTCTTGGAATTCTGGGGGTCTGTGTTTTGTATTACAACATAGACTCAAGCCAAGATTTCAGGCCAACTAGGGAGATGCCCGTCTCTTCTGGAAATGTATTTCAATGGTAATACAGATGAAGAGTAGTGGCTAACAAAAAAACTTGATCCTTTTCCCATCCTCGGTGAATCCACTTGTCATGGCTCTGCCTCCCTCTTGAGCTGCATGAAATCTAACAGGAAGATAGTGAACCAATTAGGAAAGTTAACAGAATGAATGTGTTGCCTTTAAAAGTCAGGCATCCCAAGTGGTGTGGAGCTGAAGACTTATTCCCTGAATTTGGGAGAGAAACAGTTTTTACCTTTGCAAAGGGGGCTTCTTAGCCTACTGGAAAACATGAACCACCCAGTAATTCAGGCAAAGCAAAAAGCCTTTATTAAGGGAGGGGTGGTCAAGTCTTTTTATAGGGTACAGAAACAGATGATACATACATTCGGTATACATGTATTACATACGGAAAGCAAGTAATACATTGATTACACATGAGAATTGAACGACAGAAAACACTGGTTACAGATAACATTCCATAAGTGGCAAATTAATGGGTTACATCGCTTTCTTTACCAGCCAGGTTTGTATCTTTAAAACTTGCAAGTGTATTCAAGGACTTTTCAGAATACGCTGTCTATTGTTCAGTTGCTGAAAAGGCAAGTTCTTGTATACCAAAAGAAACAGCCTTGGCCCAGAAGAAAAATACGCTTTCCTAAAGTTAGAAAAGAGGCCTAGACTGCCATGTTAAAAAAGCTTAAAAAAAAAGCTAATTCCAGATAACAAATGTATTCTCTATACTTGGACATGGAGATTTCTATCTGGATGCAAAGAATATTTCCTAGGCAGGAGATTCAAAAGATCGAAAAAAAGCATGATTTTTTTTTTTTAAATCCAGCTGTGCCATCAGCCTGAGTTGAAGATCCCAAGTCCCGTTTTCTTTCCAAAGGATGGGCTGCCAGTTCCCCCA